CCCAAACTACTAAGAAGGGTGGGAGAAGGTCATCTCAAAAGAGACCATGGACACCATGCTTTACTCTTTTAAGTTCCAATTGAAAAAGGTGGAGCAAAAAAGTTCCACTGCACCGCTAACATAAAGTCATTATGTAGGCTAATGTGCAACCTATTATTCAACATGTTCATCCCTTGATTTGGTTTTAGGGATGAGATTTCTAATGTAGATTTCTTCTACTTCTACAACTTGTGCTTGGGAGTCGCATTAAACTTGCCAAGTTTAGTGTTCAACTACTAGAAGTCACGTCTCAAATAGAGAGACCATGACAAAAGTAAGGGAGTATTTATTCCCTGTGGGATACTTTTCACTAGAGTCATTGAGGTTGTTAACAATAACACCACTGTCTTTGAGAATGGTAAGGAGGTGACAGAAATCAACCTGACCACCCTTCATCGTATAGGGATAGCTCATCTTTTTCCTGATCATAAGAGGAAGTGTTCGAAGATAAAAGTTGAAGAAAGTCATCAACAGAAGACCAAACAACTTGCTCGGACTTATGTTCTTCATGTGGTTCTATCACCAACCAACATGTCCAAACACCACCACCACCACAAAAAGCCTTACCTACACCACCAACCCAAACAACAACCTTTCCAATACCAAAAAAAAACAAAAGTCACACCACCTTCCTAAACACCATCCTCTATCACCATTCATGACTCATCATCAGACTCTAATGATAAGCCTAACTCTTTATGTCTCTCACAACCACAAGGCATTCCATCTCACCCACCTAAACAAACCATAGAAGTTTCCCAACCTCTAAAATTCAAAAGATAACGTCTAATGCATCGGTTCCTTGTGCCTAAGACAAAGCTTTAGGAGGAGCTGAGTCTAAAATATGCTCAACATCTCTTGCTATAAGAAAATAAATAGATGTAGCAGAAGAAAGCCAAATTGGTTGTTGAGGAGGAGAGACTCTTGTAGGAAGCACTTCAAGCATTTGCTGCTAAAAAGCAAAGAGGGCTGGAGTTGAAACAAATGTTGGGAGAGTTGCTAATGAAAGGCTGCAAAACTATTTTTGTGCCTAAGGCGTTCTCTAAGGTGATATATGATATGCAACATAACGAAGGAAACTCAACATCCTCTCTCGAGAAAGGCTTTTGTAGCCATGTATCCTATCTCCCCTCTCCCTCCAACTTTTGGGATCAACATTGAGACTAAAACATCTGTAGTTGCTAAAGTTGTTGCTATAGTTAAAATGAGGAACTTTGTATCTCGTCATAAAAAAATGAAAAAATAAAATAATAATGATCAAATTAAAAAATTTGTAGGTTCACAATAATAAATTAATTAAAAAATATAAAAATAATTAAACAAATTAGTTAAGGGATAAAGACGTAAACATTAAAATAGGATATATTTTTTTGTTAATGTTATAAATTATTATTATTATTATTTATAATCTATTTCATATATAAAGACGATAACATGATTTGTTATACATATTGTTTTGGATGATTTTATTTTTAAATAATATTAAAAATTAATTTTTCTTATAAACACAAAATTCAAACTTGATAGCTTAATATTTGAGAATCAAACACAATATCAAACATTTTAACAAATATTGATAATTTTTAAATATTTTTATTAAATAGAATATAAAAACACAAAATACTTCAATTTTATTTATTTATTTATTTACTTATTATTATTATTAGCAGGAAAAAGATACTCCATGTCTATATTGTATTAAAAGAAAAAAATAAATAAAAAAGAAAAAGAATGAGAAATTACTCATAATATATACCGTGAGTGATTATTGGTTTCTAAAATTTAATCACCATCCAAGTTGAACATGTTATACCTCATACATATACTGAATTTTTTTTTTTGAAAAATTCTATTGTATATATATTTCTTCTTCTGTGACTATTCTTCTCTCAATATGACTTTTTTTTTTCTCATTCAATGCTAAAGATTCCATTGTCTCATTTATTTACTGCCAAACATATATTGTGCAGGTGATTTTTAAATTATCTAACCTTTTATTTACTTGCCAAACTATAGTTTTCTAAATGTTTATGGTTTTGATTCATATTGAAAAGACAATGGGTTTTATGGTTGTTTAGAAGGTTTTAATTGTTAATTTAAAAAGGAAAAAAAAAGGGAACTTAATAGGTGGGCATTTGGCCTCTGTTAGTACACTACATACCCTCCTGATAATATTGCCCTTTTAAATTTGGCTCCCAAACGAGAGTCATTTTTTTTGTTCGTCCCTAGAGTATCCACCGTCGATAGCTGTGACTAATCTTCTCGCTACATTAGAGGCACCTCAAAGGGTGGGATAACTGACCCTAAGATTTAACGCGGCTGCATACACAAGGCAGGATTCAAACATCTTAAATAAATAAATAATTTTATTTATTAACAGATTGAACTTCTTAAATTTTCTTTCAATGATAAATATTATAAATTGTTTATAATAGATATTTAACATTTTCTTTAGTTTCTTCAAATTTTGAGTATTCAGAAACAAGCAGTGTTATGGATGATAATGTTGGAAAAAAGTAAAATAACTCAAAATCATCTGGTGAAGATGTTTAATATTGTAATCGTAGTAAATGTGCCAGAGTGTGTCATTCAGATGTCACCAATGCTGAGTGATAATATGTCCTAATGTTACATATTAACAATAAGAAATATTTTTCTGTCAAAGTATTTAATTATATAAAACACTTTAAAATATAATTAATATATGAGTGTATTTTACAATTACAGGAAATAATATTCCAAGTGATCATTCCCGTGAGCATTATCTAAATGATTTTATTTGAGAAAATGCATCTAATAAAGTAGAATTATGTAGTATTCCATGGTCGGATATTACTAATGGTAAAATTAAATTTTGTAAAAGATGTCTCATTCTATTTATATGTTTGAAAATTAATGATTATTCATATTTTGTTATCATTATTACTAGGTGCCAACAGTCAAAATGTTTCCCCCTCTTTTACTGGAAATAAACTATTATTTGGTAAAGTTGCACCTATGCAACATCGATGTAATATGTCTCAATCTTCTGATGTAATAACTGGTTAACAGGTTAGTACTAAACAAAATCTTTTGATCTATTATTTATTTCTCAAAAATATTTATGTAGAAACTTATTTACAAGGTTAGTTTTTTTTTAGTTAATGATAACACACATAATGTACATCGATGTAACACTGTCTTAAATAGAGTTGTTAGAAGAGGTGCATGTATGATAGAATAATTTACTCAATCTCCATTGTCGAATGTCACAAATGGTAATTTATGGAGTCTTATTTCTTTTAATATAACTATATTATTTAATTTTATAATGTTTATATTTACCATTTCTTATTTGATTATCCTTTTATTTTGTTATTTTATAGTTAGATATTATCTAGCCAAAGAGCAAACCGCACATCAAATCAAAACAATGAATTTGATGACATGTTGGTCGAAGAATGTGAATCAAATCATAATAACCATGCACAAGGGAAATAACCACAAAAATTAATATGAAAAAATGGTAGATTAATCAGAACTTCAGAGCAAAATGTACTCATTAATGGTATACATGAAGATGCATTCACTACCGATTGTATGTCTTCAATATTGTATTTTATTTTAAGTTTCATATTTTAACCATTAATCTATTACATGAAGGCTTATTATTTTCTTATAATAATAATAATCAGTTTATTGCGATATTGGTGATCCTTCTTGTGAATGCTAAGAATGTTGAGCAATGATGTGATATTTTGAGAGAGTGCAAAAAGGTTACAAACTAGCAAATCCTAGATTCTCTTTATGTTGCATGCAAGGTAAAATAAAGCTTCCTGATTTGTTGTCTGCACCTCAATCTTTGATGGATCTTTACTTCAAGAATGACACAAAGAGTAAGCTATTCTTGGAGAATATTATATCATTTAACATGATGTTTTCATTCACCTCTATAGGGGGTAAGATAGATGGATCATTAAATAATGGATCAGGTTTTCCAATTTTTGTCATGAGTGGTGAGAATTACCATAGAATTGGTAATTTGCTTCCTAATCTAGGAGAGCAACCCAATTTTTTTCAATTGTACATATATGACACGGAAAATGAAGTTACTAACAAGATTTCTGTTGTTGGGTAATTATTGATACATTTGGATATATTATTTTTTTTCTGAAATTTCTATACTCAATTTATGTGTTGAGTCTTTATCTTAAATGATTTTTTATTCTATTATATTGTAGGATGGATAAAAATTCTAATCCATTACATATAGAAATAGTGTTTGACATTAAAGAGATGCTTAACTCTCATAATCCTTATGTTCAAACATATAGGATGGTTCAAGATCGTCTAAAGGAAAGTAATGCACGCAACATGAAATTCAGGATAATAAGGAAAAAGGGAAAAGATGGTAGGAGGTATAATCTTCCAACTGCGTCAGAGGTTGGGGCTTTAGTTGTAGGTGATTTTGATGCAGGTAATGGTGTGAGAGACATCATTTTAGAGACTCAACAAGGATACCTACAAATGAATTTCCGTAGTAAGTTCTACTTATTTATCACTGTACTATTCACTTTTGTTCTCACATGGAGAGGATGGATATAGTGATTGCATTCCATTAAATGAATCGTTTATCATTGTCATGTTATTTATATATTCAGATATTCTTTTTCATGTTATATTAAGTTCAATTAATTTTCACAATTTTATATATTAATTATTAAAATAAAATTTATTGACTATAATAATTTATTTTCTGTGTAACGTACGGGTACAAGTCTAGTTACTCATAAAAGAAAATAATTATTAAAAAATAAATAAAAAATAAAATAATTTATATAAAAATAAAAATTAAAAATAATTATTAAAAATGATATCCCATTATGTATTAATATAGATTATTGTGACGATGGATAAGAAAATATATGACATAAATCTCTGCCGTTAAATAATAATAATATTATTATTATTGTTAATGTTTACTGCTCTATTTGATGGTTTGCTTTCAAAAGACGAGACAGTAGCATCAACCGAACACAACCAGAGAAGAGCGTTGTAAAGGATCGTGACTAGTTTTTGATATATGATAATTGTATAGCTTTCTCTTTCATGGGCAAATTCTGAAGCCCGAAGAAACCCTAACTCCGATTGCAGCTTAAACCCTAAACCCCCAAATTCGCTGCTTCCTTCCTCCACTATGGCTTCGTCATCGAGCAGCGGATTGACGTTCAAGCTGCACCCTCTGGTAATCGTTAACATCTCCGACCATTACACGAGGGTCAAGTCTCAGATGAACCCAACCCACGCACCGCACAACAACGCCGCCCCCAACGGCGGCGACGGCGTCGTTTCGCCCCTTCCTCCGCGGGTCTATGGATGTGTCATAGGTGTGCAGAAGGGTCGCACCGTCGAGATCTTCAACAGCTTCGAACTCCTCTACGATCCTGCCACCCATTCTCTCGATCGCACCTTCCTCGAGAAGAAGCAAGAGCTCTGTTCAGTATTCCTTTCTCTCTCTCTCCCTCTCTCTCTCTCTTAATTTCAAATTTTCTGCTAAGTTAAATTGGAGTTTTTTTTTTAACTGGTTAACATCAAGCTTTTTGAATTCGTAGCCGCATTGCGTCCCGTCCGCAATTGTGGCTGCATTTGTCTGTGATTTCGACCACAATTTAAAACCTTCAAACGAACCTTGATCTATCTACCAATGGTGTTATTTGATTTATAATTTCGATGCGGCTTTAATTTCGGAAATTCGTTTTTTTTATTATTTTTATTTAAGCACATGCTTTTGACAATAACCATATATACTTTCTACTTTTTTTCTTTCTCTACTTGTGTTTTATTTATTTATTCAAGCTTTTAAAGGTGTTGATTTTATTGGAAGCTTTTTTTTTTCTTTTTTTTTGGGTTCAGATAAGAAGGTGTTCCCGCACTTCTACATACTGGGGTGGTATTCGACCGGGAGTGATGCGGAGGAATCAGATATGCATATTCACAAAGCTGTAAGTTTGCGTTATTTGCAATTTGTCTCAATTTAAGCATGCCTGTGATGTGATTGATAGGTTGATTTGGGTTCATGAGGAAATTTTAGTAGTTATTCAGATAATGAAGGAGTGGAATGAGGTTTTGTGGACTTAAGATGTGTAGTGTTATTGTACAAGTTCAATGCACATTGAATAGGAATAGCTGCTGTGTGAAGGTGGTTTTATTTGGATATATGCTTTGAAAAAGGATATAATATAGTAGAATTCATCTGGAACAGAAAGCTAGGCTAAAATAGGCTAAGGGTGAAACAAATGAAAGTTTATTCGGGTGAAAAGGTTTGGCATTGAATGTAGAATTAATATGGCTTTTTAAATCCAGTTTTTCCTTCCCCCACCATGCATGGACTCAATTTCAGTCTGCTCTTTCTTCCTCACTGTGGATCTCACACTTTTCCATTATGTCCTTTTCTTCAAGATCTTTTGTCCACCCACCACTAGGAACACTCCCACCTCAACCTTCTTTTTTTATCTCACTTTCCTAACACCAAAATCTCTGCCAAACATTCTTATCACCTCTTCTTTGAATTTCGTTGCTACTTTTCCTCTTTTAGCTAGGTTTTGGGACTATCACTCGGTCTGCACACTAGCACCTAGGTAGTTGCTTGTCTGCTTTGGTTTATCTGAACACCATGTAGTATCTGCCACGTGGGAATTTTAGTCTAACTAAGTTTGTTATCTTTTACTGTTATCTGATTTTTTTTCATTAATTGGCATTGTGTTTGGGCACCATTTCATAACTGTCTGTCATCCCTTGGACCTTGCAACACATTTTGCGTAGTTAGAATATCTGTTTGCTCCTTGTTTTTTTAATGGCTTCTGTAGCATTTCCTTTTCCAAACTAACCGTTGATTTTTGACCTACTCCATTTTTTTATTTACTTCCTTTCTCCCTTCTTGAGCAGAATTGATCACAGGTCATCTATTTGTTCTGATGTGCCTCACAAAATTTTTGCAGATTCTTATCTAGTATCTCTGGACAATATATATTGGTGCCTGATATTAGGGTGTTAATTAATGGGAAATGGTTTTGGAATGTGTGGTTGTATATACCTCTACACTCTACATGAATGGGAGCTGGCTTGTTGGATACTTTAATTGTTTCTTGATTGAACAACATAACGTTTATGGTAAAATTCAATGGAAGCCAAAGAAAAATGGTTATTTAGTGTAAATGGTTTAAAATTCTAACAGATGCAAACTATTGGTTGTTGCTTTTCAGTTGCAGACCATTAGCCTCAATATAATATCCTGTATTCTGAAGAGTAACTTGTGAAAAGCTTCTCAATTCATGAGCAAAATATTTAGTTACTTTCTATTGTATATATATAAATGATGAGGAAGTAGTTGATCATGTATATATTCATTTTCTAATCTACTTCCTTTGGCACCTGTTCTTAGTAGTATATGGTTTATGCTCAAAAGATGCTAAATGCTTAATTTATATAATTGTAACTTTAAGTATTTTTCCTTCTATGTTTTCTGTGGCGCCATTTTCATGTTCTATGGTCTGTTATATGACCTTAGCACACTGTTATTATGTAGATGTTTGGTTCCACATTCATTATCTACTTTTAAGCAAGAATCGCATCAAAATTGACGCAAAACAGCTAATTTTTCCATCCATTGATCTACATCCAACCAAAATTGATGTGAATCCAAACATGTTCTACAAAGTGTTATCACTCTTTTCAGTGTGTTGAATGTTGAATCTAGTTTTCTTTTATGTTGTAACTTGTATTTTCTACAATTTAATGACATTTTCCTGGTCTAGATTTCAATTTACATAACTTTCATTCTTTATGCCTTTGGTCATTTGAAAGTCTCTTCCAGTGATTATTCAGAAAGTGCATACATTCAATATGAAGCTACTATGGTTTCTGATTCTATCTGAACCTCTGCTGTAACAGTTAATGGATATCAATGAAAGTCCAGTTTATGTTCTTCTCAATCCTTCTATCAATCATTCTCAGAAGGATCTCCCAGTCAGTATTTTTGAAAGTGGTACGTAATCTCCACCATTGTGTTACTTAGTGTGTTTATTCTTTCAACCACGGTGGCACAGTTGCAAAAATGAAAAGAGTAATGCTACATGTACAACAAAAATTGTACAACTTGTATAACATCACTTTTGTGTCTATCCCTCTCTATCATTAATAAGTATCTCTCTCCATAATAAATGAAGTGATGGAAAGAAATAAATACAAAAGTGATGTACTATTTTTGTTGTACATGTAGTATTACTCTTTCGTATTTGCATCCCTGATCAAAGCTCATTATTGATAAATTTCCTAATGTAATCTTCTATTTTGGTTTGCATGTTTCTAGTGTCTTGTGGAATGTATTTACATTATGTGAACTTCAACTTGATGAATAGAATTACAGGCATAAAATGGGCCACAACTCATAAATGTGTCTATGTTGTGCTTTGCTTCAAATCTTTACATAGCTAGTCCTGAATAAAAGATGAGGGTTGTGTTAGGTAGTCTACAACCAACTAAAACATTGTTGAATATCTATGATATGGATCAATGAGGTGATAGTTTTAATGCTAGGTTGTTGTTTGGAAAAAACACGCATATGGCTGAAGCACAATGTCAAATTAGCAAGATCAACTGCATTGATGCCTAATTGTAGTGAAAAATAAGCAAGGGTCCCAGTTTTTAATGAAAAAAGTGTGGGTAAAGGAATAAGTTCATGTGCGGAAGATTTGTTTTGAAACATGGAATGTATTCATATTTATAGGTAAATTAATGGAGATAGTAGTCACTATATGATTAGTAGGATACATTTTGTGTCCACATGAAATCATGTGGGTTGGAGAAAATGCAAAGGAACTAGACACCTTTGGTTTTAAGTTTGGGTATAATTGTAGAAAAGTATGGAAAAGTGATATTGTGGATGTAAAAAGGTTAGGAGATTGGATCATAGTTCTAAAATTTGTAGCGGAAGGGGAGACCTTTGATATGAGTACTTATGCACCTAAGATGCAATTAGCACTTCAAATCAAAATTTTGGGAGGATTAGGAGCTTTAGTCTTGGGAATACCATTAGGAGAATAAGGTTTTGCTAGGAGGGGATCCAAATGGTCATGTAGGAAGCACATATGGAGGATATGGGGTTCAAAATGGGGGTTATGATCTTGAAGAAGCAAATGTAGAAGGTAAATCTATCCTAGAATTTTTATTAGCCTATGCCATGACAATTACAATAGTTGACACTTGACACTATTTTTTAGAAAGATGGAAGTGCATCTTATCAGCTTCAAAAGTGGGGTGACATGCTCTCGAATTGAAATTTTCATCAGAAAATCTACCAAAAAATTTACTTGCAGTATAATTTCATACCTAGGAGGACCTTATTGATTACTTAACACAACCTTGGTTATGGATATAAGATTTGATAAGGGAATAAAGAGGAAAAGCCAAGATAGGATTCGAAGGATTAAGTGGTGACATTTGAAGGGTGAAAAACAAAGTTTAGTTCTCTTGTGAAGCACTGAATTAGAGGCAATGCGAAGAGCTGGCTGGTTACCATAATGTTGGATTTCACAAAACTTTGGTTCTTTAAGTTGTTTAATCCACACCAATTCACACATGGCTGAGGCTATAGCTTTATATTCTGCTTCTACACTAGACCGGGCCATCACATGGTTGAAGTTGTTTAATCCACACCAATTCACACATTTTGATGTATCTAATACGGATTATGGCATTCCAGTGATCAGCATGAGGAACCCACTTGAACTGACCAACAACCCTAACTGCAAAGTAGATGTTAGGCCTAGTGATTGTGAAATTAATGAATTTCCCAACTAGATTGCTATATGTTTTTGGATTTCAGAAAGCCTCAACTTGATCTATCATTAACTGCTTATTTGGGTCCATTAGACTATCAATGGGTCTACATTCAGTCATGCCTATTTCCTCCAAAACATCCAAAGCACACTCTTT